TGGGTGCGTTGTTGCTTTGAATAACTTTGTTCTTGATATAATAGGCAGCCACTAGAATGTAGTTGCTCCAAGTATATTTTTTTTTTATTTTCACCGCTCAGCCTTACTACTCAACTGATTTTGTAACTTTGAGTTTTAAAAGTGAAGTCATTGTTGAAAATTCCTTTCTAATGGCAAAAATGCAAAAATATTTTAAATTTTTTTTTGCAATTAGCTCATCTCCAAATTTTGTCTGTTAATTGGGGTCGAGCAAAAACTAAAATGTTTGCATGAATTTGTAGAATTTTTTAATACTGCACAAGCTCCGAGTTAACTTTGCGCAAGCGTTAGTTGGGGCACTTGCAACTTCATTACACCTATATCTAACCGAGGGTGGTTGATATTATGTTATGTTTTTCTGGAAAAATAAACAAAAATTACATTTTTAAATTTTTGAAACCACGCCCTTAACATTTCTACTGAAATCAAGTTTCCCATATTCTTTTTTTTTTCGCAATTGTAGGCAGCATTTTTTACATGAATAGCGGTACTTGTAGTAATAATAGTAGGTAATACAAATATTTTATTCAAGTGTTTCGAGTTCTTTGGATTTTTTCAGATATACAACATTTAATTTATGAGACAATGCTAAGTATGTTTATTTGTTTTTAAAAACAAACACAGTGTAGTGAAGAGCAACAGTTTCGCAATTATCTTTTACAAGTGTACTCATACGGATTTCCGCTATTTTCTACTAAATATATTTTCCGTCTTCTCTGATTTAACTCTACTGTTATTTTTTGCATGCAAATCGGTTTCGAAAATCGAGGGCATTATTCCAGCTGGCATAAGAACATGTGTGTGTGCATAGGTCGAAAGTATTTTGCATTTAACGTTGTTGTGTGTGTGGGAGATACACGTTTTTCAAAAGAACTTAAGCACTTTTTAATGCTTGGTAGTGAACCCTTTCAGCTTGTTTAGGCTGAGTCAAATCAACACCTGTTCTCCGATTGCTCGGTTTCTTTACCAATTCCCTTTTTGCTATGTTACCGCATTTTACTTGTTTGTTTTGCATCTTTCAATCTTGGCTTTGTTATTATATTTCTATCAAACAAATAACTATGTAATAGCTTAAATGGCGCAGCGACTTAATAGTGGAATATTTTGAGAAAAATAAAAACAAAACAAGGGTAATTTTTTCATTTTGGGTCGCCTATTTCTTTTCCTAAAAAAACGCTCATTTGTAAAGGTACTTTCAATATTCATGTGCGGCTTGAAATGTAACGGATATTTTGCGTCAATTATGAAACCGCAATTCATAGCAGCTGACAACTAGGTTGAACTACTTTGTCGTGTTGGCAATGTTAGCTGCGGTTAACCTCTTTATTATCCTTTATCAAGGAAAATGGACATGACATGACTTGGTTAATTCAAATTTACCCCATTTTTTGTAAATTATTTCAGTTTTTCTGTCTACCTTTCTCAACTGCTGCTACAAGTTCAACGATTGCTCAGAAGAAACGAAAATAATTTTTTTTCTATTATTATTATTTTTTGTTTTTATTAGCTAGCTTTCATGATTTCAATCTCTTTTCGTATGTTTTAGAAAAGGTTTTGCTTTTTAGTGGAAATAAGTTCTAAATGCTAACACTGTGAATGCCGGGTGTAGGCTCCGGGGCTGCGTCTAAATGTTGCGCAATAAATAAAGAAATAGACACTCGCTTAAATTGTTCCTAGCAGATAATGGCTTTGTTATTTGTCTTTTGTGGATTTGTTAAAAAATACAGGAAACATAAAAGTTTAAAGATAAAATGCATACCAAGCAAAATAAGATCGCTCCATTCTCACACACTCTGTTCTATTTGTTTGTTTATCGTAACTTATTCTTAGTTAATTAAGTGTTGTTTAAAAATCGTTGATTTGGTGAGGCGTGGACTATTATGCCTCTTTTGGGTAAACTATTGCAGAAACCTTAGTGCTTTTTACGGCGAAAATTCACTTTCACCACCCATAAAATTCTTACTGTTCTAAACTACTATATTAAACTAATCGATAACGGAAAAATAATACATTTGATATTAATTTTAAAATTGTACAATTAGAGTGACACTGAAATTTGCTTTATAATGATTCTCTTAACAAAAATTTAAATTGATCTACAAAGATTTCACCACCTCTACTCTCACATTTTAAATTCCAACAGATTCTCAGATACCTCCCTACATAATAAAAATATTATCGAAATAAAACTGTGTCCTGATAAGTGGCCACTCTCATCTAAAGAGAGACTCTATCTTTCCTAGCCACCAGCTAAATATAATATAGACTCAATAAATAAATAAAAAATAAATAAAATTAAGTCAAAGTATTTTGAATAGCATTATGTGATTCGCTAGTAAATACCCATAGCATTTCTATTTGGACCGAATATTTGCAAAGTACGCATAAGAAGTGTTTGATAAACGCATACATACAAGTATATGCACACGACTCTAGGTGCGATCCCACTTAGATAACGCCTGTACTGCCTCAGCTTTAGCCTTCGTTTGCCAGAAATAGCTTTTACTTGGATATTTTTATTTTGAGATGCTGCAAATAAATGGTTATTCTACGCATATAAATATTACCGCATCTCCACATTCTTTTGCTTTCTGTTGCAGCAAACGAATTTGTAAATGAAATCTCGCATGTAATAATTTTTCACTTTAATCTCTTTGAATATTTGAAAAATGCATATGGTAGTGATGTTTGTATGCATTTGCATATACAGTGGTGGCCAGGTGACGGTTAAAACTGCAGTTTTTTTGAAGAGAAACTTTCAAGTAAACTTTTTTGTCTTCTTTGTAGTCTCTTTTTTAGGATTAATACTTTTCTATGGCCTGGTCTCTGGTCAGAAGTATTTGGCGAGAAATGTTATCCCTAGTTTTAGCAGTATTTCACCATTATTTCAATGTTTCATTGTACAAGTACTTCTATACCTACTGAAAGTTACTTCCGCTACTGTTTTTTTTCATGCAATAACCTTTTGATGCGTAAGTCGTAAAAGTTTGTTCTAATATTTAGTCTTTAGATTACGATATGACGTCATTAAGAGCTTTGTAAGTAACAGAAAAATGAAAACAACGGAAAACTATAATGGATTATTGGCATTTTTTGGAGTGCGATGCTCACGCTCTATAGCTTCTTTATTATTTTTAGCACCTGATATCGACAAGAGCTCTCTCTTTCTCTCCATATACTTCTGCTCAAAAACTTCTTTCATTCAAAGAATTTACTTTGTCGGACACTCTTTTCCTAATTGGTATCGTATACGTATCTGTGTATCTGTATACATATATACGGTATGTATTATAAATTATAATGCTCCTTTCTCTACGCAAAATATAACAGTATATTTTCTTATAGATATGGCTAAAAATATTCCACGAAGCTGTAAGAAAAATTACATAAATAAAAGCATATATAACACAAGCTTTGCTGCGCCATTTTAGTTAGCGCTCGAAATTATTTGCTGATATGCAAAATAATTTTGTTGGTGAATTTGAATTTGCATCGTACTTTTGCCCAGCTCCATATGCATGAATGTTGAACGAACACACAACACGACCTGTGACTACGAGCGAAGCATTCTCAATACTAAGCGGGCTTGAATTCATGGATTGCCTATGCGGAAAGTGTGCATGTCATGCATGCAGCAACCATAGGCGGTCCGGTAAATCGGAGCTTTATTGATAATACTATAAAATGTGCACTTGGATAATTTGAAACGTGTTTAATGCGAAAGATATGCAAAATAAAGAAGCGCCTGTTAAGAATTACAAGTTTCTATGTGAATGCGCGTCTGTGCGTGCGAGTAGAACGCGAAAAAATCGCAAATGCCCGGTTATCAAATGTTTCCAACGCTGCCTTTGTCGCTTTTATTTGCGAAATTTATGAGCTAAGTAAATATGTATATGGCAGTGGAGGCACACTTACGACGCGAGTTAAGCGCCAGATCGCTGTGTCGCAAGAACGCAACATTTTTCGCACGGAGCAAATGAATGTGCTTTTAATGCAAAATGAAATGAAATAGATTGCATATTTACACAGTCATATCAAAAGTTACGCAACTAAATCAATGCATGTATGAAAACTTTGCGTAAACATACGAAACGTTTTTTGTTTATTTACCTTCCAACTGAAATAAACTGCAAGTTTACATTTACATTTACATAGTTTTACACTACATTGTTTAGTTAATGATTTCCACGCAAACGCTGATTTATTTTTGGCACAAGTCACAAATGTATGGTCGTATATGTGTGTGTGTGTCGGCATGCAGAGCTCGATTTCCATTTCTTGCGCCGAAATTTGGCTATAAAATTTCAAACTATTGAGTGCCGACGTGTTTTTGACAAAAGCGCCAGCAGCTGGCCGCAAAAAGTCCGACGGGCTAAGTGGTACATGCGTCGCAAGTCGGTTATTCACTTGAACGCCAAGCAATTTCTGCACCCGAAATACCCAAACTGGAAACATGACCGCTGGCAAAGCGTGTTTGGGAGTTGTATTCAATTGTATTTCAGGCGTGATTTCTTGGAAAAGCTGCACTCATGCTCACGCATTAATTTCCACAACAAAAACAGCAACACGTTAGCAACCACCAATATGTCCTTAAGCATTGTGTCAAATTGCAATCGACTCGGATAAGAGTTCAGTTATATAAAGTGGTAATTGTGCGTGTGCTTGTGGGCGAAAAAGCAGCTCTAGGCTTGCATTGTGTTAGATATGCTTCATCACTTATGCATGTACAAACGGCAGGTGCAATTTCACTTACGTGGCAATTAGAAATTACAGTTAGCCGAGTAGAAGCACACATCAGCAAAAGCAGGGCAACACTTACTAAAATTGTTATCAATTTCGCACCTCCAACATAAAAATAGTTAGTGCGCTATGTATTGCATCAAAACGGAGCATATGGAGGGAAAACCTCAAATGTGACAACCATCTGTCATAAAAAAAAAATAAAATAAAATTGTACGACATTCGGTTATATTTACACCACGTTTATTAGTCAATATAAGACATATCTTAGAAAAACGAAATCATACACAGAATGATTTTGTACCGAAAGTCCGCGTCATTGGTTTATGGTTTATACTTCCTTTTGTCACAATCGAACCATGACTGTCTTCAACCATTGAGTAGTCACTTTTCCATGTCGCTAGTCTGCAAAAAATTTTGTATATGCTACATTCGGCTTTTTTTTTCTTTAAATTTTTAACTGTAAAAGATTTTGTTTTTAAACATAAAACTTCTTAAATCGAAAAAATACAAACTTCTCACAAGAGCCACACATATAAGCCACTATATAAGCAAATTAGTTTCCGCTTTTGGGCGAACAAAAGTTCCTAAATAAGAAAAACCAAATTGGGCTTTCACTTTTTCACTCATAAATGTGTATAACTACAAGTATAATATATAATCTTCTATATATTGAATTCATTCATTAAAACTATGGCCCGCCCACAAGATATTTTTATTTGTAGCGAGGCAGATGGTTTTTTGTTTATGAGTTTATTGTTGAGAAACATTTGTAAATATTTACCGCAAGCTGTGCGTCAGTCGTGCAGAACACAATCACTCAAATTACTCAAACAGGTGTCGCTATCGCGTGAACTAGTGAATGGAAAGCCATTAGAAGCAGAGGAAAATGTTCCATTGCACTTAATACAGAGCATATATACAATAAATAAACGTGAGTGAGTACAGTTTTTAGCTGAAAATTGTGTGAGATTGTTATTTTTAATATAAAATTTATTTACAAGCGCTAACGGTATTTTAGGTATGTATTAAGTTATGCTAGAAAAGCGTCCACGTCCAACCATCGAAAAAGTTTCTGAAATTAAAAAAATATTTGTGCCATTAAATCAATTCGATTGGCGTTCATTCGCTTTAGCTGCGAGAGAGCGGTCGCTGTTTGTGTGTGTGTATGTGCTTGTCAGGGAATTCGAAATTTTGATTTATGCCTCGCCATGTGTCTGTGTGTCAATTTCAGTGTTATTTAGTTTCGGAAAATGCTGAATTTTGTTTTGGCAAGCTATCCGCTGCAGCGCACAGTTTCGTCGCATTGTAGCAATCCTGTGTGCATTTATGCTCCCCTCCTCGGCGGCCGCAACTGTAACTGCGAGATTTTAGGTTATAAACCCTTACATACCATTCATTCTATATTTATAAATGTTATTGCTTAATATCCGGTGGCGATAATAAGATCTTCCAGTAGAGCAGAATTTTCACCACAACGACAGCGCTTGTTTTTGATTTTCTTCTCGTTTCTCCTTCACTCTAATGCACGGGTGCATATACATATTTCTAATCTCTAGTCTATATACTTATATATTTACAAATATTTGTCACGTACGAATCTAAATGTTGCAGCTGCTGGGTTTTGTGTGCTTTCAGCAGTATTTAATACCCCCTCCACTTGAAAACTCTGCCAGCTCTTATTTTTAAATTTTTAGTGAGATTTAGCGAGAAGAATAATAATAATAAATCTTTTTTGTGTGTTGGCTGCTTAGTGCGGTAAATAATTGTAAATTATTAACAAAGAAAAACAAACTAAAGATATTCGAGTGAAATGCTGCCAGCTAATTGGCATTGAATGAGCTATTTACGGCAGATGTTGTTATTTCGTTCCAAATATTCCATGACGGACAATGCGGGTACATGCAAATATATAAACAGGTTGGTTCAAATGTTTCTGCGCTCGAAATGAAAAAATACTGTTTTTGAGACGAAATATATTTTTTTATTCAATACAAACGTCCTTAACTTCAATACACTTAATGAAATGATTCTCCAATAATATTATGCCATGCTTTTCCACGAAGGAACTGTTTCAGGTTTCTGAAGAGGTCGTAGTCGCTAATAGCCAAATCTGGTGGTTGCTCAAGCGATTCGTACTTTACTGCGTTGAATTTTGTCATTGTTAAAACACCTTTGTGAGCCGGTGCATTATGTTGATGAAAATAAAGAAATCGGTATTATTCTAAAACACTCCAAATTATGCTGAGAAATTTGTTTTTCTTCTAGTTTTTGTTGAATTGTTTACGTGTGCGGCGCTAACTTTCCAAATAGCTATTTCATGTGTAATTCTCCGTGTAAAATATGAAATACTCGTTCGTCTGAGATGCCTACGGCATTAGCAATTGCACGCTTAGTCAAACTTAGATCTTCACTAACAACATTATGCACTTGCTCAATGATTTCTGGTGTGCGTTTTTAAGGAAAGGACTCCTTATACACTTCTAACAATTCTTCATAAATTTCCTTTGCTTATTTAAACCTTGCAAAGTAAAGAATCTAATCACTGCGCGATATTTCATTTTAAATTTTTTCCATATTAAAAAATGCTCTGACACGTCAACTTCAAATGGCTTTTAAAAAAGAATTAATTGACAGCATGACTTGTAACTTTGCAAGTGTGCTCACAACAGATGTAGTTGAGAAAAAATAATTTGGAGCTAGTAGCGCTATTTCTTTGTGAAAATATAAACTGTTCAACCAACCTGTATATAATAATATGTACATATACCGATATATATAGGAGTATACATTTATGTCATTTAGAAGGCACATCATGAAAGTTTTTGTATTTATTATTTACTGCGAAAATTAAAGAATAACTGAAGTGCATTTCAATTTATTTTTCTTCAGCGAAATGTTAAAAACACAAATAAATAATCACTCATACGCCCCACCTCACATTGTTCAGCTTATTGTTGTTGTATGAATGCTTTGTTGGCAGTTAATTGCGGCCATGACGCTATGATTTCGCCAATATATTAAAAAAAACATTGTCAGCGGTGAAATAAAATCTGATAATGGCTGATTTATAAATTTTCTAATTTAAACCAATGAATTTATTTGTTGACAGGTTGCAGTGCAGACGATCGCATAACTGTATTAATAAAGTTTAATTGTTATAAATATATATTTTTTTTTCTAGTGATCTTAAGTAGATCAAATTTTAATTCGTAAAGATTATTGGAAATTTTTGAGTCCATATTAACAATTTTTGGACATTAACGATGGATATAAATAATTAAGTCTAAACTACTTACTTGTTATTTTTCTAGAGCATTGAGTGTAAATGTGAAGTGTGTAAAGATATCTTGATTTTAATTATAAATAGAAAATGACACAAGGTTGCTGCAATGCCAGATGTGACCTCGAACAAGTCATAAACTAGTTATTAACTAGTTGTGGAAACGTCTTGAAGAAATGTCAGCACTAAAGACTTAACACATACTTTTCCATGCATTATTTTATTGCTTTAATAATGCAAGTCTCAAAATAAAAATGTTTGAAGATTAAAACGTTTATTTTGCTAATAGCTTTGGTCAGCAATTGGAAACCAGCAATTCATTTTCCAAAATCCATCAGTTGCAAACGCTGTATGAAATATTTTTCTATCTTCGAGAACAGTTCTTCAACAAATAAACAAACATATTAACAAGTCTGAACCGCCGAGAAAATTGTTTGTTTTATAATTTTTATTCGCTACAGAGAACTTTCATATAGTTTTACATTTTTTAACGTTTTAATTATATACACGCCTTGATTCCAACAAGTTCACCAATTATTGTTTGTTGGTGTGAAATGATTTTTAATGCCAAAACCATTTTGCTTCTGTTTATTGAAATGCTGCTTATTTTCGTAAACATTTCAAGATGAGAGCGAGCAAATGCCACTAGAATTGATTGAAATATATATATAGTATATATATATATATAGATGTTTACATAAATACCCAACTAACGAATTTTTGTATATATTTGTTGTGTAAAATTTCTATGTCAAACTAAGTCAGGAGTTTTAAGACGTTGAGTAAAAACAACTAAAAAATTTCCATATTCCAGAAAGTGCTGAAGACGCCTAACATCCCTTGCAAAGTGATTGCTTCTCTATTCACAGCACAGTCACCATAAGTGCTAAGTGGAGAGAGTGAGTGTAAGTGAGAGGCAAAGTGTCGAAGTCTTTAAACTCGGATTTTATTGCATAGCTTAGTACTAAGATTGTTTGATATCAAATTTGTTGATAAGCTGAACAATTAAATATTATCTGTATATATAAAAATTATTGGTTGTCTAAATGCCCTGAATAGAAACGTAAACTATGCATTTGATGATTTAATGATATTAAGCAAAGTTGTTGTGCATGAGCCAAACAAGATTGCTGAGTTGTTAGGACCACTTCTCGACAAACGAATAAAACCAATAAAATAACTTCAAATGAATTGAATATTTATGTAATGTCTTTCCTTTAAAGTAATTTTAGTTTTAGGCGTTGCAACGCGCGCAGTGTATAGCTAGTATGTTAAATTTAAATTATTTAAATATTATATGTTTAAAGTCATATAAAATGCAATGGCAATATATTTGCTCCAAATATACAATAAGTGGTCATACTCTTAAAATAGAAACAATTTGAATTGCTGAAAAGCACGAATAAGCAAAATTTATTTACACACGTATGCTTCTGAATGATTATATAGGGAACAATATGCCGTCATGCTGCATCTCAAAGCTGCAAATGATATCGCTAAGGCTTGCGGTATTTGATAACACTTTTTATAAAATTTTGTATGCACAAAGCTCACATTTACTGAAAAATTAGTTCAATTTCCGCTGGAAAGTCAGGTTAGACAGGTCGTATACGCAACAAAAGCAAACTAACACTTCATTGCTTATTTTCAGAAGCGCACAAAACGTCTCTGTGGCAGACACTCCGACATCTAGCATAGAAGAAGGGGCCGAAGTGTAGACCGAAGCGCAAGAGCATTTAGCGGCACTCGAAGCATATGTGCTGTGTTTCAAAATGACGTGATTTGGCTATATTTGAGGCGCCCACGCGCCACAACGGTAGCCAAGGCTATGAATATGTATAATTGTGGGCGTATGTGTAATTGTAATACAACAGCAATCACAGCGTTGGCCGCACAAATGTCAGCGTGCCGTTAAAAGCGAACTTGAACATGGCGAATGCTCGAAGGCGAACGGTGGCCGCGCGCAAATTGCCAAAATAAACTGAGCCAAAATGCAAACGAACAGTTGCTAATGATTTATATTATTTTTTTCGTGTATATGTTTGCCTTGCTTTATTTTCAGCTACATAGACATAATTTTTTTTTGGGTGTCATATTCATCTGAACTTGTCATAAAAATTCTTTTCACGATTTATATAAACTCTTTTAATTTTGAACATAAACTATTTTATAGTTCTGGTTCGCGTTTCACATCAAATATACACCGATTTATGGAAGAAAAGAAAAGAATCATCTATATAATAACGTTCATCATTATTTTAGTAATATACTAAACATTTTCTTTTTGTTTAAATAATTTGTTATTTGCGTTTTTTCGCTTTGTTATTAAAGGAAAGATAACATTGAAAAAAAAGCGTACTACTAAAACTTATTTATATCCTGTTATAAAAACAAAGCAATAAACTCTTTATTATGGCGTTTAATTTCACGCATATTTTCTAAACCACCAAGTAGGAGAAACTTTACAGTTTGACATGGGAAGTGACAAACAGACAAATAGATCATCACAATCTGAAGCTAACAAGTCACTCACTCACTTTCACGTCCCACACACATCCCTTAGCACTTTGGTTTTGTAGTAAATATTTACGTTCGAAAGCCAAGCGATGTCCACAGCCTATACACCTACACACACCTGGAAACATCGATGCATACTTGTAGATATTGGCGTAAATATCGAATGTGGGTTCGCCTCTGCCCACACTTATTTATGATCAATCGCTGTCAGCTGTGCTGCGCACGATGAAATGTGTGATCGCGTGGGCAACCGTGAATGGTGTAAGAGAAAGTATAGAATGGCAAACAGCAAGTGCCAAACAGCCTTCACCATCGAAAATGTCAACGCCATCACCTTCACCTCGACAGCCCGCCAAGAGAGCCTCGAACAGATCATTAATGTACACACACATGCATTTACACTCGCATACAAGTATATATATGTATGCATACATTTTGTGTTTGGCTGTATGTGCTTTACGTCTTGACGTTCCTCGCTCTTCGCCAGTTGTTTATGCCGACTGTCAAATTGATATTTAGTGTTTTGATTTTGTTTTCGAATCTGTTGTAGGTATGTTCTAACGAAGTCATGCGCACAAACACTTGCACAGATAAACAAGCATACCTATATATTTACGTCATTATGCCATTTTCGCCAAGCGATCATCTATACTATACCTTTTATATGATCTGAACACTCTTACATGGTCCGAGGCGTGTTTCCCGAACGCCTCGATTTCCCACTCTCGTCGTGTGTGTTGCGCCTACGCCTACAATGTGGCACTGTTGCTGTTTCTTCTTTTAGTTTCATGTGAGTTTGGGGGAAACATATACTTTTGGTTTTGTTTGTTCGATTGTTTTGGGAAAAAATGGAAACTCGCATTGACCACTTGCGTCAGTTGAGAATTTCACTTCGTTCAAGTTAGACACTCGTCGCTGTGTTCACAAGAGATCGTAATAATTCCAAAAAATATTTCCATCGTCGCTTTAGTGTACAGTTTTTAAGTGTTTTCAAAAGTAAAATGGCTGTAAGTGATATCTAACATTTATATAGTGGAAAATATATTGTTACTTAAACTGCAAATGATATTTACGCTTCAACATACTAAACTATTTAAATCAGTTAAAGAGATCCGGAGAAAGGAAAAAAATTAAAATTTCAAATATCTTAAATTTTTATTTTATTTCATCAGAGCTTGATGAAGCTATGTTAGAAAACTCTGCACTTAGTTGTTTTTATTGTATAATTTCAACTTAATCGAAGGAATAAAAGCGTCTCATTCAATGATACGTTAGAAGTTTCGAGTAGAGTGCGAAAAAATCATGACGCAATGAAATAGTTAATTATTTAATATTTGTACAACTGATTTATGAAAAAATATCGCTCAAAGCACCTAAACGAAACATAAGCTGAACTGAAAGCACACACACCAACACACGACCGTTTGTAGGATTACAATAAAATATTTGCATTTGCAATTATGGCGCTTTTCAATTATTAATTGAATGCATTTAATTGCAACTGATTACAGAATTTATGTTTTTTAAATTCATATTTAACAACAAACGTGTATACACACTTATATACCTACATACATATTATTTATAGACAGTTTTTTGTCATAACAGTGGAAACAGAGTAGAAATTCAACCGCAACTGTCAATAATTTGCAATTAAAATAAAAATTATTATTTAATTATAAATGCAATACAATTGATATAGACTCATTAAAAGTATTTATATAGCTTTGCACAGCTTTTGTTGTTCGTGAGCACACGCATAGTGGCAGTATTTAATGCAAAAAATATTAGCTTTATACCAGGAACACATGATATTTGATTTTTTTAACCATTATTAAAGGGAGTTTTAAAATTAAAATTTCTCGGGTTTGGAGAATCTATTGTCAAAATGTTTTTTATTATGTAGGTATACATGCCCCTGAAGCACGATACAATTTTCAGCTATATTCATCGCTAACTTTCACTGTAGTAGCCGCTAAAGTTAGACATGTTTGCTATAAGCATTGCGATTTTCGTTTATTAAAGGAAATGGGTCAAAGAATTTGTTCTTGCAAATTCTTGCACCAGTTTTCATATTCGCCAGACATGGCTCCGTGTGACTTTTCCTATTTTCAAAAATTAAGAGAACCTTAAAGGGCCGTTTTATAAGTAGAGATGAAATTAAAAACGCGTCGCTGAAAGAGCTAAATCTAGCTGACCATTCGTCCCGGTTTGGCCGAGACAGTCAGGATTCCGAGTTGAGCGTTTCGGCTGTCCCGGGCTTAGAAATAAAATAAATGAATAAATTGAATAAAATTGTGTTGTTTTCTCACCAACTACATGTCGCGATTTTCAGTGAATTATAATATGGAAAAATCGATGACTGAGAAAAACCGCCCTGGATTTTGCCGGGACAAATATGGTCACCGAAAGCTAAACGCTATCTATCGAAAAAACGGAGTTTGATAAGTGTTTTGACGATTGGAAGAAGCGCTAATGGGAACTATTTTAAAGGTGACAACATAAATGTAGACAAAAGAATAAATATTTTTTTCAAAACACGAAAATTGATAGTTGTAAATTTCTAAAAACTACCCTGTTGACCTTATAAATGTAAACTAAATTGTATCAATATTTTTAATTTATTGTTTGTCTTATTTTAGATAATAATTACTAAAAGCAAAGTAATAAATTTTGCTAACATTAAGCTAAAGAAGAAAGAAGAATATAATTTAACGGTTTACTCGATAAAGGCAATATACCGGTACTGTCATAACTTTAAAGTAAGAGTAATGATATGTATGCACTCACAACTTTATCGTACAAATTGATAAAGGACAACGGTGCAACGCGATCCAAAATATTTTAGAATTGTTAGAAATCATTACAGGAAGATATCATACACTCGTCTTCGGTCATTATTTTAGTATGATTAGAGTATAAAATTAAGCTCTAACTTTCTAAAATACCATCCATTGCTCAAATTAAACTCATTGCCTCCCAACTAATGCTATTTCTTTCTCGTTTCTATTTGCAAGGCCACCAGTGTATATTTATAAAATCATCTACGAATCATTATTGTTCTTCTATATGTTATTGGATATGTTATGTGCAACATTATAATATTTGTTGAAAGCAAATCAAATTTGGCTATTTTACATTATTCATAGAAAACCCTCTCAATTTATTAACTAGTGTTAACAAAATGAATGAACGATGCTAAAGCTGTAAATACTGCATTTAAAGCTTTGGTTATTGTTAAAAAAAATAAAGTTTTAATAACAGACATTAATCAAATTTTAGTTTGTTAATTTCGTGGCAATACAGTTATGAGGCTGCTTTACTTACTGAGTGTACGAGCACAGTATTGTTGGAAACATATTATACTTGGCCAACAATACTTGTATATCTATAACTGTTATGTGCCGTTAATTAGCGCTGCAATGGCATTATCCGTTGACTTCCACGAACAGTGAACAATATGCAAAGTAGAATGGGCTTACGACAAAATTTTGATAAAATGAATATTCGTAGAAATAGTCAGGCACTGGTAATGCCCGTTACGTGGCATACCGTTATTAGCGTGCAAGTACAGATGCAATGCTTCAATTACAGAGAAATACGTATATTTTTGCATGGGGTTTCTTTAGCTTCATGGCATGCGTTTCGGTTTCAGCCAGCTTATTTTAATGGAAATTTAATTTGTGGTCGAAAACTAATAAGTATACATTACAACAAAAAATGCTATACAATTCTGGTTTAAAAATGCGTCAACACAGTGACGAAGCGACTAATTGAAATGTGGTTGAATGCAATTTTGTGCTTTGCAACGTAGAGGCGTGAAAAATGTTTTTCTTTTCTTCTCTACAATGGGCGCACGTGGGGTGTGTTTACAGACGACAATGATTGACACGGTTTTCAGAATCTCTGCCATTACTGTTACTAAAGCGTTGCAAGAGTAGTGATGAAAAACCATTGTTCAAATACTTAGCAAGTGAGATAATTCAGTTGTTCGAACTAAAACTAGAGCAATTAAGTTGGCTTAATTTTAAACTATGTTAACTTACCTGATCGGCATTGAAATAAGCTGCGCTAAGCAAGCAAGTTTCTAGCTTACGAAATGTATAATTTCGAATTGTGAATCTTTGATCACTTCGCACATTGGTTCGGAAAGCTAGAAAAACTAAAACATGAGTGGCAGGGATAGAAATAGGCAATTAATAATGTGTTTT